TTCTGATGATAAAATTGTATGACACGTCCCTTAACACACACACTTATTATTTCCTGGGAAATTTCTCATCTGTATTAGGCGAGGCCTCATTTGTAATAACTATGAAAGACACCCCAAAGGACAATTCTCAATGTTCAAAAAGTGAGGAAATAATAGTCCACGTCTACGTTCATGTTGTGTTTTCTCTGTGTTCTGACTTGTAGGCAAAGTTTCTCCCGTTTAACTAAGGTCTTTACTCTCAGAAAATGTAAAAAGAGACATTAGCATAGCCCTTCTGAAGCTCCTGGCTGCTCATGTAGAATGGAAATCAGGGTCATAAAATTAAAACTATTAAAAATGATAGTAAATCTCTCTCTTTGTTCCATTATTCAGCTTTAGAAGTATCTCTGCTCTCTAAGAGCTTTGGAGTACTAATTTTATATATTTAGGAAAAGATTTTAACAGTAGAATTGTATACCTGAACTATGAGAAATTAAGGAAAGCAGTCATCAAAATAATTGGGCTGATAATTCAATTGTTAAACAAAATCCAGAAAATATATTAGTTATTTCATTTTTAAAGGCCAGACCAGGGCATGGTGGCTCATACCTGCAAGCCTAGCAGTCTGGGAGGCTGAGGTGAGTGGATTGCTTGAGCTCAGGAATTGGGGACCAGCGTGAGCAAGAGCGAGACCCTGTCTCTACTAAAAATAGAAAAACTAGCTGGGCATTGTACTGGGCACCTACAGTTCCAGTTCCTTGGTAGGCAAGAGGATCACTTGAGCCTGGCAGTTTGAGGTTGCTGAAAGCTATGATGCCATAGCAATCTACCCAGGGCAACAAAGGGAGATTCTGTCTCAAAAAAAAAAAAAAGAAAGAAAGAAAGAAAGAAAAAGAAAAGCCAGAATGATAGACAATGTTTCATATGTTTGTATTTCTATTTTCACCGCTTGGGGATTATGGCTAAAATGGACTGAAGTTGCTGGGATGTAGCAACAAGGAAGGGACTGTCTAGCATGGCCAATATTGGGGGGAGGCTTATAGCTTTGGAAGATCTGCTTGGCTGGTTTTGACATGGGAACTGTTGTATTTCCACACCTGGGACCTTTCTGTAGAAAAGTGTGGTGAATCACTGAGCACTCAGGAGTGCCCTGGGCAGCCGCACTGCACTTACAAAGAGGCTGAATGCTCAGTGGTGTGACTATCACAGCATGTTCCAAAGGACTAGGGAATAGGGGATCTGTTTTCAGCTCAAACTTCAAGCAGGAAGTGATTTTCCTGATAAAACAGCCAAAAGGTATAATCCCCTTGTTCTTCTCAATCAACACAATCTTACAGCCAATCTTGGACTTAACAGGCAGAATTCAGTGAAGATTAAGGACAGCAAGTACACTGGTTAGTAAGAACAGCTCGCTGTCATTAAGCACTAACTATAATTGAATATTACCTCCAAATACTTTCCCTGCATTATTTTACTTGACTATGAAACACCCTTTTTATCATACTCCTTTCATGTATGAAAAACTGAGATCAAAAGTTTAAGCAGCTTGCCCAAGGTCAACAGCTACTGAACGGTATTAATGCTAACTGGACTGCTCAGGCGAATGCTAAAATCAACACTTTCATCTCCCTGCTCTGCCTTTTGCTTGGATAAAGTCAGCAGCCTCCTTGTGCAAGACCTACATTAAAAGTGTATTTAAAACAATAAATTTCTGGTTAGAGAGAGGCAAATCAATGGAACAGACTAACCTGTAAAGAAATGTACTTGAATATATATATGAATTTATATAATTTAAGATGGCATTTCAAGTGACTAGGAAAAGCAGCAAGTATTATGCGGTAATCAGTGGCTATTTGGGGGAAAATATAAAGCTATATCTTTTGGGGGGAAAGTGTACTTTCAGCAAGCTCCGAGTGTTTCTGATAGTGCACTCAGCCCCATTTGTGGGTGTTAGTCTTTCTAGATAATTTATCTGGAGAATATTTACTCCCAGAGGACCCACTACGAAAGAAGGTATTTTTATTAAAAATACCTTGAAGATAGGATTTTTAAAAGACAGGAGGGGATGGTGTTGTGCTATCTCTCAAAAGTCCCATTAACTCTCCAGGGGGCCATGAATTATGTGTGCCCCCTTTCTGGAGAAGGAAAGGGCTTCTAGGGTGGGTATTGTCACGGGGGCTATAGGATGGATTATTTCCCTCCACTCTAGTTGCTATCTGAAAAAAAATATATACTGCAATAAGATGAGAACTGAGAGGTGCACTTAGACATAGCTCTTCTTGGGACAAGATCAAGTAGAATAAAACTGAAAAGAGAAAGCAAAAATGAGACTACACACAGGGAAGCAGAACCAGGCCACCCTCGAGTGGGGAATCCTCCCTTAGCAGCAGTGGAGGAAGGGGCAGGGCTAGTCGGGCATCTCGGACAGGAGATACAGCAGTGACAGAAGGGTAGCTGTGTTTGGTTCTGTCCCCTGGCTTTCTCTTTTTGTTTTTGTCTCTGCTGTTGTTATTATTTTACTTAAAATTTTTTTTTTGCTGGATCATTGATATTCTTATAAAGTAGTTCAAATCCCTGATGGGACTAGGTTGGTTATAAACACATAAAAATAAATACATGTGTTAATAGAAATATTCATACAAATATTTTTATTCATGTATAATATTTATAAATACATACATTTAAAATACATACTCAATCAGAAATTAATGTGCATTATAGTATATGGAGATTTCATTCCTTGATTTGGGTTTAGTGGCTCTCAACCAATCATTTTTTTGTCTTCACAAAGCTCTGGGAATAAGAAATCTTTCCAGATTTGCTTGCATATGGGTTTCCAGGCCAGGGAGCGAGGTGGATGCCCCCTGATCATTGAGTCAAGAATTTGGTACCGGCTGTGGTAGGGCTGGCTTAGAGTGGGAGGGATAAAAGCAAGACAGCAACACCGGAATCCTGACTGAGGTGCCACTTTAGACTCTGGCACAGAAACAGAGCACATGGAGCGTACAAGTCAATACACACAAGTCAACTTTTTGAATGGATAAAGGCTATGAGTTGGGATGGAAATTTGGCAGAGTCAGTAGTAACTTTTGTGTCTAAGGACAGAAGGATCAAAGTTGCACAGACACGCAGGTGTTCACTATGAATCCAAATAAGCAATGCATGGTTGAGGCCACTGTGCTGGAAATAATAGAGCACATTAGCACTCTCGAGGTGATGGTACTGTGGCCCTTTGGGGCAGGAAGGGAGTTAGGAAGTGATGCCAGTGAGAGTGGTGCCTTATATTAAACCTTCTCATGGGGGTAAGCGGCCATTCATGCTTCACTCCAGTTAGTCCAGCCCCTTCTCAACAGGATGAAGATGTACTAGGAGGCGGGTGAAGAGTGGGTATATGTGACATGTTCTGTACGTGTGTGTTATGTACTAGTTATACTGCAACATGATCAAGTAGGATTTATATGGAACTGGCATGTGATGTGGCCTTCTTTTTATAGCTTCAAGCAGTGAAAAACAGTGAGTGAAGCAACTCTGTAAAGATGAGAACCTGATGATGGTGAAGCAGGAGTGACCAACATTTGCTTTTCTACATTTCTGTCCTTTGCTCTTTCTCCCCAATCCATAGTAATGTCTCAGTAATAAATATACTACTGTAAATAATAATACAGTGATTATTGTGCTTGCTGTAGTTTTATTGGCTGCTTATTAAAATTCACATGCATCATCTTATTTCATTATCACAACTGAGGCAGGTGAGAGAGCCAGGATTGGAAAGTAGCTTTGCATATAGACCCTAATGTTCTACTAGTGATTCTTATCAGCTGGTTGCGTGTCCACAGTCCATTCATTGGTTAACTCAACCACAGAGAGCTTTTTTTAAACCTTGCTGTAAAGATGGTATATATATATATATATATATATATATACACACACACACACACATATATATATATATATATATAAATAGGGTTATTTTGGAAAGAGAACAAAAAGAAATCCCTTACCTTCCTCTTTCCTTCCTCTTTACCTTTCCTTCTGTCTTCCAAAAACCACCCAATAAATCCCTCCTCTGTGCTTAGATTATGGAAAAGAGTACACTGAACCCCATAAATGCATCAGTGTACAAAGTTGTGATTTAATTAAAAATAAAAAATGAAAATATTATGAAAAAGATAAAAGTCTCTGTGCTTCCAGAAGTCATGGTCTAGCCAGGAGAAAAGAAAAAGTATTACATAGACAGCTATAATTTTATGTCTTTTAAATATCAAATCAAAGTACTGTAGGCACCATTGATTTGCCTACTTATACTTCTCCTTGGTCTTCTCTTTCTACCAATTTCTGGCTTGGAACACAAAATATTTTGCAGATTGCACATATATTATGCCATCCCATCCCATGGATGTTTATCTTGGCACTGACATTTTACCTGCCCTACTAAATATTTCATAGATATAAACAAAATCTTTGGCTCTATTTACAGAGCAGAAGCTGGAGAAAAAAAGGTCTTGGGTTAAAACAAGCATCTGAGATTCAACGTAGATGAGAACTGTGCTTTTAGAACTTAGTGGACCTCAGTGTGGTGCAGGAACAGGTTGGAGTCTCAGTAGGGTGTGTGTGTGCACAGGGGAATGCAGGTCGACAACGACAGCTGCAGCTTCCCCCATCTGGGTCACGTATCCTCACAGTGAAGTTTGCTCCTATGACAGAAAAGCTGCAAATCTGCAGAATATCTATACACATGCAAATCTGAGCACACCATTCATTTTAAACCCTGACAAGTTACCTTTGGATTAACACTATTTAAGAAACGTAATATTTAAAATCTATAGCTAATCATAGAACATACAACGTTGTATTTTTCAAGATTTCATCAAATTTGAATCCAGGATGCTAAAATGAAGAATAGGTAACTTACCCAAGAATAGGTAACTAAAAAAAAAAGAAATTAAACCCCAAAAGAAGAGATTTCCCCTCATAAAATTAGAGCTTCTAGCATATGATTCTACCGTGAATACTGTACTTACATCCAGAGCCACAGACTGCTTGGCCCAGGACTTCTTCACTTGATCATACATAATTGTGTTGTTGATGCCAAGGCCACAAAAGATGACAAAAGCCTAGGAAAAGGAAAGCTCACTAATTAAAAATTGCAATAACTCATTGGCAAAATCTAACGTGAAAGCAGGGAGTCATCAGGGAGTGGCCTGAAAATGTAATTTTATTATACACAGAGGTGGGCCTCGGGGAAATAGGCACATTAAAATTCGTAATTACTATTGTCATGCAACAACCTTATAGCTCACAAGGCACATGAGAAAAAGTAATTAATGTCATTGTGGAGAAACTACTTCATATGTTTAAAAAAAAAAGCTTATGGTCTATTTAAACGTGTTTTTAATGTATTTAGGTTGTGGACTGATTTTAGTAGCTAACTCCATTCAGTTTAGCCAAAAGCAACCTTTTTTAGTAGCTAGGCTATAAAATATTTTGGTAAAGACACCCAGTGAATATAGCCAGAGGCAAGTTTTAAGGGTAAGAAGGGTTGAATTAGAACCATTAATAAAGAAGCTGTAAGCTATTCTCAGCCAGAGGAAAAGTAATCATGGGTTTTCATGTTGGCTACTAGCATGGCCTGCAAGGAAGCTAGTTCAAGGCTAATCTCTCAGCCTAGGCTGAATGGAAGCTT